TGTCTAAAGCTCATCCTGCAGCTATCTCTCCCATCTCCATACAGCCAGGGCTGCTTACAAAGACAGAGGGGCATGTTTGGTGTGATCACCTCCAATGTTATATTGGAGAGAATATGAGAATCTCATCTCATTAAATTCATCATATACTATATAAGATCTTATCAGATTATATGTTGATCTATTCTTGGTGGCTTCTATGGTTTAGGTATGGTTTTTCAGGGAAAGGTTTTGTGTGTTGGAAGCTTGGTCTCTAGGGCATTGATGGAACTTTAAGATATGGAAGGTCTTTAGATTACTTGAGAACATTGCCCTCGAGGAAGGATTGAGGGAGTTCCCATGAAATCTACCAGTGTCTCTAGAAAGGTGTTTGTTGTAGTAACTGGAGAGAGAATAGAGGAGCTCTCTTGCTTCCTGTCTTGCTCATGTGCACTTTTGAGCCTCTGCTATCTGCCATAATGTGACTTGGTAAAGAGGTCACACCAGAACTCAATCACTTAAGGCACCAAGCTCTTGAATCTCCAATATTATGAGTTCAACAAACCTTTTTATTCTTCATATGGTGCTTGCCTCAGCTATTTCATGATAACAAAGAAAAACAGGATAATCTAATTGCACGCTTCCATTGAATTAAAAACAGCTCAGGCCAGAAGAGAAACACTCAGAGTACAGAGAAATACTTGACACAAAACTAAAAATCCTATTTCAGTTTTTCTGTGTTCTTCTTTTTGGGTGATATGATAGAGTTACCATTAATGTGAACATTTTATATAATAGGCTACAATTCTGATGCAGCTAGGAATAAGAATATGTCTGAATGAGAGAAAAAGGATTCATGAACACTTGCAGCTATTAAATAGAAGTATGCCAAGAATAGTTGTAAAGGGTTTTGGTGCATGTCAAATTCTAAGTTTTTTAGTTCCAATGGACAAAATTCCTTGAGTGACTGGATTCTTCTTGTTTTCAAATTTTACCATATGCTGGCAATTACATCCTTTGGAATGATTTAAATGTATGAAGAAACACTTGAGAACACCACCAGAAAACAATGTGTGAGAGCATGAAAATATTGTGGCAATTCACAAAGGTTCTAGAGGATCAAAATAGCTCGAAGACTGTTGTTGACACCGATTTCCTGTTGGAAGCCTGGCTTCATCCTTCTCCTTATGCAGTAGGCAGCTTTTCATGTCTAAAATCCTGCTGATGCCAGCATGGTTACTTGAGATGTCTCCTCCCTGCTGCATGTTTTTACAGCATTACTCTTCTTCACACATGCCGATACACTGGTCAGTAAAGTCCTGGAGTGATGTCACAAAATGTGGACCCAGATTTGGCTTTGTTTTGAATTTTTATTATTAAGAAATTTCCTATTCATTTTACATACCAACAACACGTGTTCACTATAACGCTAGATGAAATCTCCCAGAATTGATGCGGGAGTTGCAGTAACTGGAGACCTCAACTCTTCTAGGCGGTTGGTTCTGGGCCCTCTCCCAGCAACAGCTGTGCAGTCAGCTGCATTCTTGTCGATGTCTCTATAATGTCAGGCTGTGGTTGCAGCTATCACACACATGTAGAGGGTAAGGACTACTCTGCTAAGTGGTCAGAAATAGAAGGGATTTTCCTCTACACCACCCATTTAAGAGAATCCTGGAAAAACTCTCATCACTTTGGCTTGGTGGTGTTCTTAGTCACTCATCAATCACTAACACTGAAGCAATAGGACATTATGGCTACCAAGTGAGTCCCAGGAAAGGCGCAAAGCTACACAGAGAAACCCTGTCTCAAAAAACCAAAAAAAAAAAAAATAGACTTCAGAATTAATCAATGAATTAATATTAGGAGTTAGTGCTATGTCTTGGGAACGTAGCATGCAGAAACTCATAGTTAGAGTCACGGAGGATTAAGTTACTAAAAAGGGGGATTCTGTTTGTCTTGGTTAGCATTAGTATTGCTGTGATGAAATACCATGACCAAAGCCACTTGGGGAGGAAAGGGTTTATTCAGTTTATGCTTCCACATCACAGTTCATCATAAAAGTAACTCAGGGCAGGAACTCAAGCTAGTCAGGGACCTGGAGGCAGAAGCTGATGCAGAACCTATGTAGGAGTGCTACTTACTGGCTTGTTCCTCATGGCTTGCTCCTCCTGCCTTCCCATCAAACTCAGAACTACCAGCTCAGGCATGGCACCACCTATAATGAGCTGGACCCTCCCACATCAATCACAAATTAAGAAAATGCCTTACAGCCAGATCTTATGGAGACTTTTTTTTTTCAGTTGAGGCTGGTCCCCTCTGATGACTCTAATTTATATCAAGTTGACATCAAAGTAGCTAGTATACTACTTTCAAAACGAGGGAGAAAAGTTATTGGGTATATAGAAACAACAAAGTCTTGTCACAAACAATGCTTTCAGCTTGGGAACAGACTTTAGATTGATTTTGAGGAACTATATTAATGGGAGATTTATTAGAGTAGCTTATAGACTGTGGCCCAGTTAGTTCAACAATGGCTGTCCCCAGATCAAAAGTTCTATTATTAAGTCCATGAGGCTTGATGTCTCAGCTGGTCTTCGGTCTACATTGGGATACTGAAGAAAACAGGTTCTAACACCAGTGAAGGAATGCCTTCAGCTACAGGATAGATGAACTTGCTAGAGAGAGTGAAGGCCAGTATGCAAAAAGCTTCCTCCTCCCATGTCCTTTGGTGTGAACTGCCTGCCACCAGGAGGCATGGCCTAGATTTAAGGTGGGTCTTCCCACTCGAAGTGATCCCATCAAGAATATTCCCCACACCCATACCTCGATACATGGGATTTAATTGATTCCAGATGTAGTCAAATTGGCATGCAAGATTAGCCATCACACTGGCAAAATAATGAAGAGGCAAGGGACAGAGAAGTAAAGATAAGAAAGTATTTGAAAACCAGTGCTTTGTTTTAAGATAAATAATAAATTGTTTCGTCGGTCAGTGTATGAACCATACTTTAAAGTTAAAAAGTACAGAAGTAAAAAGGATAAGAAATGTATGTATATTTTAAAAATTAAAGAAGTATTAACAAATTGCTATAGAATAAAGGTAACCAAAACACAGTAAAATAAGGTTCAAAAGATATCCTAAGAATTCATGTTCAAGCTCAATAAATATGTACCTGTAATGTCAATGCTTGAGACAGAAATTTTTGTATTGTTACTAAATCACACTGCATACACTAACAAGAGTATGATAAAAGATTTAATTCTATTAATGATGGAATTGACATTAAGGATTATGGGTATGGCCCAGAGGTAGAATGCTTATCTAGCATGTACAAGGTTCTAGGTCCATCATCAATACTTCAGAAAACAAACAAACACGAATAAACTGATGTTAAAATACATTATTTTCTTATTGAGATTAGTCAACTATTGACTATGTTTTGAACTTTTATTTAACTCATACAACTTTGTTAATGACAAGTTATTTATCAGAAATGTGGGACTGTACCCCTGACAAAGCAAATCTGCCAAGAATGGTCGTGTGAGATAGAATGTGTCAGAAATGTTTAAAAGTTCAGATGAATGTAAAACTATGATTTATAAAGGTTAAGAAGATAGAGGAACAAGGTAAAGTTAGAATGGTCTAGGGTGTGCTGTATGTACGTACTGAAATATCAGAATCAATCCCACTAATAAGAATAATTAGTAAAGCTCAAAAGAGTCAAAGAATTGTCATTATTAAATGTCTCAGCGTTAATAAATAATTTAGCTAGCCTATGATTTTAAAACAACCTGCACATCAGTTTTATTTATATCATTTGGCATACTGTGATGTATTTAAAGTCTCTTATTTACTGGATTAAGAAAAACCATCTTGAAGGCTTTGTTTCATATATTTATCTGTTTGGCCCTACGGGTAGTCAGGTAATTTATCATTCCCACATTTGTGCATGAGGATTTAGGAGGGCAGAGAGATTATTCTCTAGCCAGAAGCAGGGTGAAATGTTAGTCAGTGGAAGGAATAACTCGGGTGATGTGAAAGTGGAAAATTTCAATGTACATAATCAGTAATAGTAAGAGTATGTATCAGATATAACAAAACTGCCATTCTGAGTATGCAGACTGTTTAATGGCTATCTTAGGTTCAAGGAGTTTGTAAAATACAGCATGAATATTAAGCATGAGAAAAAAATAAAGCCTTGTAAAGAAGTCTGATGGTCAGGCCCCTAATGGCCACTTGGAATCAATAAATTCATCTGTCTTTTATTTATTATTGATAGTTTAATTTGAGCAGAGCACTATATTGGGAACTTAATTTCTGTATCAGTAAAAAGGGATAAACAATTTCTTAAAAGTTACAGTAGAAATACATGCATGGAAAAACTTCACACAGGGCTTTGCCTTTTGTCAATGGATAAAAGTATATTTTGGCCCATGAAAATAAGCCATCTAGATAGGATGCGTACAGTCTCTTTCCAAGATTGCTAGAGTGACAAAAACCAAGAGTTCCGGGTTTAACAGAAAAGTGATAACTTTCCTAAAGAACACAGACTCTACCTTTAGTCTGTTCAGTAAACTATTAGTTTGCATTTTAAAAGAGCAGTAACAAAGGAATCTATCCAGACTTGATACACCAAATTGCACCAATACAAATGACTCAATTGCCCTCCTTTATTATGACATGGTGCACACAGATTTGCTTCCACGTGTAGTTACGAAATTGTTCTGAGGTTGAGAGGACTTCATTGGTTGTATATTTTTTGGCTCACATGAAGCCAAAGGTAATGAGCTTTAACACTACAAAGGCTCTGGAATGCTTTAAAAAACATTTGCTTCCCACAAGACAAATGAGCTGAGCCAAGCAATAAAATGTGACATTAAGCATTCAATACTCCCATTTTTATGTAGTCTCAGGTCAGCAAAAAAAATGACCCCATTGGGGGCATTTCTCTAATGTTCTTGTTCAGAGTTCTACTAAAATCCTGTCTCTATGAAGCTAATCAATAGTTATTTATGCCCTGCAGACCTCCAAAGAAAGCCTACCTCATAAATTGCACTCAAGGCATTTTGGAAGCTTCTGGACCTAATGCAGTTTATAAGGACCTTCTGTCAAATGGACCACCCTGCATGCACACATGCCTATGTATGTATACATGCTTTTTGTAGTTTGTCACTTTTACTTTTTCAAATTGTATCCTAAAACTCTTAAGACAATTTCAAGTTAGGCGAAATTCTATTGTTTTGAGATGATTAGCCAGTTTTGTTCAGGCTGCCTACTTGATAAGTGTCCTGTTTTTTGAATAAAGAGTATGTCTATCTCATCTAGAGTATCATGTTCTAATCTGGAGAATTTACCTAGATAAACTCTCATGGGAATCTAAAAATCACAGAGTCCAGGAGAGTAAATAAAAGTCAAACCAAGGTCTTAGTCGATTTTCTGATGTTGTATCATAATTCTCCAGATAAGAGAAGTTAGAAACAATACTAGTTTGCTTCATCATTTTTCGGAGACTGAAGAATCTAAGATCTTGGTTCCAGCTTCTCCTGTGGACTTTCTGACTCTGGCACAACATGGTCGAAGGACATCATGTGATGAGATGCCATGTGAATCCAACCATCAATGAAGGCAGCATTTTCATGACTTAGGCATCTTGTAATCTCCCCACATTTGAGTACAATTGCAGTAGCGATTAAACTTCAATAAGATCTTTTGAGATACATTCAAGTCACAGCAACCATTTTTATACTGAAGAGTTGCGAAGTCTAAGTGTGGAGAAGCAGAAGAGACCTTGGGATTCACAGAGCTCAAAGAGGCCTTACAGATGCTGACCTAATACAGATGCAAAAAGCCACTGCCTCCATTTAAATAATAAGGAACCCAACTAGAACACTTCAGAAAGTGAGCACAGGAGATCTGCTGGGTCCCAGAGTTAAGACATAGAATTGCAAGACAAGACCTGGCTGAGGAGATGGATAATGATACTAGTAGGTGACATAAGGTAGTGGAGACCCAGCTGAGCTGCAGCCCTGGAGACAGGAGGGAGTTCTGCATCAGTTCTTGGATAAAGAGAGCAGATATACAAATGCTGGGTTCTGTTATCACAGTGTTTATAGTCCTTCTGTTCAGTGGATCCAGGTAAAGGTCTTGCAACCTTTCTCAGGATGGTGTATTCAATAATTTCTGGCCTGTTTTATCCATTGATTTTGTTTATTGTTTGTTTGTTTTTTGTTGTGAATGTGCCCTTTAAGTGGTGTGAATGTGCCCATGTACCCATCCACTACAAATCTGATTTGATAAGTTTATAGATGGCCCCTTTATACTTTTCAGAGTACATCTTCATCAGTCCATGCCTCATAGTTCATGCTAGTCAGGTTGTAGTGTCTACATGTGTAAACACATATAAAGGCAATCTCCTCTGTATTTGTACTCAAAGATGAGCAAAATGATGCTTTATAAAGTGGACTCACTCAGGGTAAAACGGGAGACCTAGTTTTACACAGCGTGGAAAAGCACAGAGCAGAAGCCGACTTAGCCGGTCAAGGGCAGAAGGAAGGGTGCTTTCTCCATGTCTCTAGGTCGAAGTAACTCTCTATTCATTAGATGAGAAGTAAAAAGATTAGTAAAAAGGTTTCCCAACAGAAAGTAGATAGGAAAGAAGCCAACTGGTGATATTTCAGGCCTTTCAGCTCTGAAAGAAAATGTCTCAGAAATCCACAACCCAGCTCTGTTCAGTCTACTAGATATTAGGATATCCTGATCAAACATACCCTTTTCACATCAAGTTTACCATGCCTTAGAGACCATGTGCTCGAAGGATCCTAAAAATGTTTTCATTCCAAGGTAAACTTACAAGGTTTGCAGGAAACAAAGTTGAAAATAAGGACATTCAATTTTGAAAATTTAAATTATTTTAAGAACTATTACCTTGATTAATTTTTTATAAGTTTATTTACTTATTTATTTTACATCCTAGCTGTGGTTTTTCTTTCCTCCTTTCCTCCCAGTTCCTGCGCCCCCCTGCCCCTGAGCCCTCTCTGTTCCTATCCCCCAATCCACTCCTCCTCCATTCCTGTTTAGGAAAGGATAGGTCTCCCATAAGTATCAACAAAACACGGCATATCGAGTTGCAGGAAGACAAAGGCACCTTAGCATGTATTAAGGCTGGGGAAGGGGACCCAGCATGGGGAGTAGGCTCCCTGGTTGTCTGTTCAATCTCGGTGAGCCCCTATGAGCCCATGTCAGTTAATTCTGTGAGTTTTCTTAGGGTATCCTTGACCCCTCTGGCTCCTAAAATGCTTTCTCCCCCTTTTCTACAGGGTTCCCTGAGCCCCACCATTTAATGTTCGGCTGTGGGTCTGCATCTGTCTCCAGAGTTGCTCTCATCGTATGTACTCACTCTAAGTAGATATTAGCTGTAAAATAAAGGATAACTATACTACAATCCTCAGACCCAGAGAGACTAGGTAACCTAAACTAATTTTTGAAAATTAAAAAAAAAAAACCTACTAGAAAAACTGAGAAAAATAGTGTGTGACCCTGATAATTAGAATCCCCTTCCAATTGCTGCCCGCTTCCTTATCTAAGAAAATTACAAGGGCTTCCTCCCCTCTGGCTACTCTATATCTTGATTCCTTAACACCAAGGAGAGGGAATCGGAACACACTGAGGGCTAGACTGGCCTATCAGCTTTATGTGTCATTCACTTCTTATAAAATGTATTAGTCTAACATTTCACAGATACTGTCTCTGCTGCTTTCAACCTCTGCAGAGGGTGATCCAAAGAGTCTTTGTCAAAACCAAAGGAGTGTTCATAACTTGAGCCAAATTCTGCTGGAGAATGTTGAAGTTCTCTCTCTCTCCTCCCTCGCCCCCACTTTGTGTGTGTAGCTCAGTGTTTGATGCTAGATGTCTTCTTCAACTGCTTTTCACCTTATTTTCTGAGACAGAGTCTCTTACTGACCTTAAGAATCACTGATTTAGCTAAACGTCCTGTCCCACTAGTTCCAAGGATTCTCCGGCTCCTTTTCCCTACTGCTGGGATGACAGGAGCGTTCTGCTGCCCTGGTGTTTACAGGATGGCTTGAGATCTAAGCTCAGGTCCTCATGCTTACAAGCCAAGCACTTTACCAACTGACCTACTTGCCTACCTTTACTTTCTTTTCCCAGAGTTGCAAGGGGACATGTTTTCTGGATGTGTTTGAGCATCTAAAAGAGGACTGTCACACACTGGTCTTCCTGAAAAGCAGTGACCAAGACCTGAATTGATAGGAAGGTAAATAGCTGCCAGGATGGCAATAAAGACCCCTTTTTTATACAGATCTGGAGATTCCTGCAGGACTCCTATGGGGGCAAATTTCTCCTCCTAGTCAAGAAACTGTCTACAAATGATGGCAACTGGGAGATGGAAAATCAGTTTCCTTCTATGGAGTAGAAGTCGGTATAGCAAGTGCACTTCAGGACAGGTCCTACGCTCAGGGATAGATGTCCAATATAAACCAGACCCCATGTTTTTTAGTTGCTTTTTCCTTTTCCTTTTGTTTTCTATTTTAAGAGTGGAGGAGAACATGAAGTCAGGTGGGTACGGAGTATGGGAGGATCTGGAAGGAGTTGAGGAACAGGAAAAGGTTATGATAAAATATACTCTATCAAAGTTCCAAAAAATGAAAATTAGTCTTTATGAAGTAAATAGATTAAGTGGAATTAAATATTGAATGAGGGGAACTTACCAAAAGGCCAGTGAAGCTGTCAGGAGAATAAGAACTACCACAGAGTAGAGGTGATCATGGAGGAGCAAGCCTATTGGCTGTGCCTCTCAATCATTCGGCTATGAATGTTGTCGAGTTCTGACTCTGGAACCCTCAAGACTCTTCTAAGTCAAGGTATCTTTGAGGCCAATATCAGTCTCCTATTCTTTTTGCCCAATATCTTTAGGTTCTGACTCAGCTCACAACAACCCTCAATTAAGAAATCAATGCATCAACCAACCAGTCAAAGCATGGCTTTTGCTAGTCCATAATAGGGAGGAAAGCACTTTCTCTCTTAGCCTAGCCTAAAAGAAGAGACAAGTTCATAGGAAAGATAGGAGTTTGTCTGTAGTCACCCAGGTTGATGGAGAAACAAAATGTAGATAGGCAGTGTTCATTTCAAACATATTTTAGTGAGTTTTGGTGGGCAAAGAAGACTTTGAAGGAACAACTCTATGAAACAGGGTTCAATGAATCCAGTTCGATCTCAAACTTGTTTGGCTGACAAAGTATTTCATGATTCTATACTTTTTGTGAACTACTAATAGGATGCTGATATATGTTAATGCATAATATTTTATTTTGTAATGTATGTTATATTAGTATATATATACTAATATATTATATATATATATATATATATATATATATATATATAAATGATTATTAATTGTATCATCTTTTTTGGTTTTTTGAGACATGGGTCTCTGTGTAGCTTTGAAGCCTTTCCTGGAACTCACTCTGTAGCTCAGGCTGGCCTCAAACTCACAGAGATCTGCCTGCCTCTGCCTTCTGAGTACTGGGATTAAAGGCATGCGCCACCACTGCCCAGCTTTGTTGTATCATCTTAATAGAAGATTCTTTTATTAAACCATGGTAGCTATTCTGAATTGTGCAATTAAAACATACATAAATAAATATAAAAGAATAATTATTAAATGAGTGCCAGCCACTTAAGAATAATAGCACACTTAAAACCAATGTCAGTTTTCTGCAACCAAAGTGATTTAAAAACAGGATTAAGACCAATGCTGACATTTAGTGTAGCTTTGCATATAAAATAATATTCAATGACTTTGCTGGGGCAAGCAACTTTGGAAGAGTCTAAAAGTATAATGAATGCATCTTTAGCTCACTCTTACTTCCATGAGAGTATAAAGGACATACTAGAGTAATTGTGTGTGAGTTGCCCACATGCAGATATAATTCCTATGCTCTGTCCTGCTAACTTCATAGTGCTCTCTCACCCCCATCAAGAGGCAAAGTACCATCTCAGTTCCACGTGGAGCCCATGTTGGAAGGTAATAACCTATTTCCTCATCCTAAATTTTCATATGGTGGAGGGTCATCCAGTTGACATACATGGAAAGTGGGGGTGATTTTTGAGAAATGTGTCAAAGCTATCAGGACTTGTGCAAACATACTCATCTATCTCATTTTAAGAACTAGAAGTGGCCTTGCCATGCCTTTTGTTGTCACAGTTGATACTACATGTCACTTAGCCTCCTGATGCTGTCGTCACCAATATTCCAGGTCTTGCTATGATTCATATTCATTTCGTTTTTCCTCCACATTCGGCTTCCTTCGTGTCTCTGCTCCCACTACCACACAATCACACAGTATAACAGGCTCCAAAACTGTGTGTCGAGTTGGTCGACAGAACACTTAACCAACCTCAAATTATTCCTATTGGATAAGCAAGGCTACTTCCAGTATGTTTTCTGCATGTAATGGCTCATAGAACATGCTATGGACTACTGAGTGTTTGTGTCTTTCAGAAATATGAAGGCTGAATTCGTACACCTCTAGGTAATGGCATTAAGACGTGGGGATCTTCCAAGTGCAGCTCTCATGAGGGGAATTAAGTCCTTATAAAAAAGAACCCAGAAAACCTCATCCTTTTTAGCATGCAAGAATGTAGTTATATGGCACAAACTCAGCCCCCACTGCTAGTCTGGTCTGTGATATTTCTTCCAGGCTAGTGCTGTGAGAAATAAAAATCCATTTTTCATAAGCAATGTAGCTGATGATCTTTTATAGATGCCTTGGTGGACTAAATCAGGAGATAAGGCAGAATTCCAACATGATCAATGTTGGTATTACACGTAAGTCTTTCTGCTCAAAGAAAAGTAAGATTTTTACAGTATACAGAATATAATCATCTTCTATTTTTTTAATAATCTATGTTCATTACATTACTGCATTATAAATGTATTTAAAGTTCTTTTTCTTCTTTTATCATTGTATTATATTTGAATATCTTAAGTATGTATATTAACACCTTACTCATCTGCAAATCACCCAGCTAAAAATGCCACTGTATATGGAAGAAGATACAATTTCTGCTTTTGGTAATGTAGCTAGAGGATGCATTTTCTTTAAGGACAAATTAATTATATGCTTGCCTATCTGTAGCATTTAGTATTCCATACCAGAGGTAATTGTTTCCTTAAAATGAAAAGGATTTGCTGCAAAACTATATCTAAGCTTGTTTGTTCTCTCCTTTGGACTTTTGCTTGTCTATCACATAAAAAGGATCAGTCTTTTTCTGAGAAATAAAACACATCTCAATAATCTACACTGAGGGTAACCCTACATATAGAGTCATTGGCAAATGTCATTCAGAAGGTCCACAACATCTTTCGAACCTCAACAAAATGGATATCCTAAATAGTCTCCCCAGAAGTTCAATTTCTCTAGCACAAAATGAGAGATTTCAATGACATAATCTTAAATCCACTTTCAGTCCTAATATTTTGACACGGTCTTTTATTATTCATTTGGATTCTGTAAGATCCAATCTTACAATCTTCTTAGCCATTGTTCTACTTATGTGAAGAGACACTATGACCATGGCAAGTTTTATAAAAAGAAATCATTTAACTGGAGGCTTGTTACATTTCAAAGCTTTATAATTCATTATCAACATGGCATTTGAGCAGTAGCTGAGAGCTACATCCAGATCTTCAGGCAAAAGGCAAAGAGAGGAAAGGAGGGAGGGAGGGGGTGAGGGCATGAGAGAGAGAGAGAGAGAGGGAGAGAGAGAGAGAGAGATTGGGCTTTTGAAATGTTAAAGCCTACTTCCAGTAACAGGCTTCCTCCAACAAGGCCACACTTACTCCAACAAGGTCATACCTAATCCTTCTCAATAGTGCCACTTCCTGGTGACTAAATAGTGCTGGAGTCCTAGGAAGGCTCCAACAGCAAAGCCCCCTTTTCTTACAAAGGTCTGTATACAGAAGATAAGGGGGTCAGCTGTTTGTGAAGGCAGAGAACTTCAGAGATGGGTCTATCAAGGTCACCAAAGTTTCTAGGCAGATAAAGATCTGCCTATAGGTCCTGAAACAGAGTCAGTCCTTACTGAGGAAAATTCCTCCTTCTCTTCTCCTTCTCTTCTCTCCTAAACCTTCCAGTTTACACTAACTTCATCGCACATAATCTGTTTTTGTATTCACTTTATATTTTCATGTACTCCCTAAAATTCCAACTTAGGTACTCATCCATGGGAGCCATTGGATTCCGGCATGCACCTCATGACTATTAAGAGCATGGGACATAAAATATTCTAAGCCAGGGCTGGAGAAATGGCTCAGTGGTTAAGAGTACTGACTATTCTTCCAGAAGACCTGGGTTCAATTCCTAGTACCCACATGGCAGCTCACAACTGTCTGTAACTCC